GGTTTTGAGAAGGCCAACAGTATTTTTATTTTCGTTCCTGGTTTCTAGCACAACTGCGTTGCGCAGCTACCTTATTTACTAACATTACCTTCTGGTGTTCCATTATAAATAAATTTAGCACTTGCTTGAGAAGCCTCTCTAACTTTACTCCACGCACAATCAAATCCTACTTCTAAAGTTTCTTTTTTGTTTGAACCAATTTTTTCACAAACTACACATAATGCATTATTTGCGCTTTTTTCTGCAGCAGCTTTAATTCTATCAAAAAACTTCTCTTGGTTTTGAAAATATTATGGACTTTTCACTTTGGCAGAATATATCACAAAAACATAATATCATTAACCACTCTTTATGATTAACACCACCAGCCAGTCCTGCTTCAGCTACAAGATTAGAAAATTCTATTCCAGGTATTTCATTTCCATAAAATGTTTCTACTTGACAGTGGTAGCAAGTAACTATAATTTTTACAGACAATTCTATAACTTTTATTTTATATCTTTTTTCATTTATATTTTTATTTTGACAAGTAGGACATTTCTGATTTAATATATAAGTAAGGAACAATTCAGTACTAATTAAAAGACTTGATCCTAGTTTTCCTTTAGAAATAAGAAACTGTATTAATTCTTGAAGCTCTTGGATTTTATCTTCACTATTATAGCCGTTTTCATCATCAATTTCATCTTCACTAAAAAATCAATAAAATTTGTTATTTATTATTTATTAAAAAAAATTTTTAGATTATACCTTGATGAAACAAATTCACGTTCTAAGATTTCTTGTAAATTTAAAACCTTTTCTAATAATAATGTTTAGCCTTTTTTAATAACTGTGAAATAGTATCTTCACCTAATAACTGTAGTTTAGTATCTTCGCCAAATAATGGTAGTTTGGTATCTTCTAATAGTTATGGTTTAATGTTTTCATCCAATAACTATAGTTATATGTCTTCATCTAAAAACCTGGTATTTTTATATAATAATGATAGTTATACTATGCTTTTTTTTCAATAACTATAAATTAAAAAAATATTATTCATTATTTTTTTTATATATTAAGGTGATCACTTTGGGGTCTGGCATGTTTTATTAACTTTGGATCGAATGCCAGGGTAGCCACAGGGCTACCTCTGACTTTGTTATATTAACGAGGATACATATTAGCCATATATACAACTTTTGGTTATCTATTTAAGAATAGGTATTAATATTACATTACACAAATATAAAATAGTGCAGATCAGCAGGATTAGCCTTTAGAGGGTAGTACAAAAATTCATGATTTTTAGAAGTACTAACCAATGATTTAATAATATTAAAAAAAAAGATGATTTCGATTGTTCAATAGTATATATATTTAACCAATATCTCTTTTTTCGCCGAAAGCTTATTTGGAACGAAGGTTTGTTTAATAAATTTGAAATTAACTTGCGCGAAAAGCTTTAAAAATGCGTGAATCAAATAAACTTTATTAAAGTATATATATCTTTCTTTTAAATTTAGCGAAAAATTATTTTGTCTGCTTATTGCAACCACTTTTTATACGTTAAAGTTATGGTAATAGCAGTTTTTTATAAGCTAGCTAGAAGTTCTTTGTATTAAAAAATATGATTGATTATCTATTTATAGTTTACTAATTAACTATATAATAGAGCTTTTTTAATAAAAATTAGGCGAACCAACTTATAAAACAAAATAATCATCAGGTTAAAATTTCTCGTAATAATCGATCAGTTTTTGTTTATAATATTACCCAACTATCTATTTTACCTAATCATAGGCTTATCGAAGATGCATATAAAGATCAAAACCCTATATATCTCTTAAACTGTATTCCAGGCAAATTTGCCTGGAAAATTTAATTGTATTTAGTATTTTTTAAATAAAATAATAA